TATATATATATATATATATATATATATATATATATAGATGTGTGCGTGTGTTGGATATCAATAATTTGCCTATGCCTACGGTTTGCTGCTATGTCTGCTGCTTCACTTTCGTTGCTGCTGTTGCTGCTGCAGAGGAGCGTACCTTCGTCCTCCACTTTAGCAGGCTGCATCCCTTTGCTTTGCTGGGCGGCAGGCGGCCCGACGGCTCCCCTAATAGCTGCATGAACGACGTCCGCTGCAGCTGCAGCAGCAGCAGCAGCAGAAGCAGACGCAGGACAGCAGAAACAGCAGGAGCAGCAACACTTGAGTTGCATGCGGGTCTACGAGTTCGGCATATTTGTTTTGTTGGCGTTTGAATTCTTCCGCGTGGCTCCCTGTTCACAACTTTGCGTCTTTTTTCCTTCGCATTCTTCTTGAGGACCTTAAACCTGAAATTAACCGTTGCTGCTGCAGATGTTGCTGCTGCAGTTGCTGCTGCAGCTGGTGTTGCTGCAGCTGTTGCTGCCGGAGTCGTCGCTGCTGCAGCTGTTCCTGCAGCTGTTGTCGCTGCAGCAGCTGCTGCTGCGGTTGTTGGCGCTGCAGCTTTCGCTGCTGCAGCAGTTGCTGTTGTAGCTGTTGCTCCTGTAGCTGTTGGTACTGCGAATGGTGCTGCTGTAGCAGTTGCTGCTGCAGATGTTGCTGCTGCAGCTTTTTCTGTTGGAGCTGCTGCTCCCGCAGGCATTGCTGCAACAATTGGCAGACGAAGGGCTTGAGGGGACTATCCAGGAATCCAGCAGTCTTTTTTCTTTGTTGGTGCTTCTGCTGCTGCTGCATCTGCTGCTGGTGCTGCTGCATCTGCTGCTGCTGCAGCGGCAGTAACCGCAGCACCTGTAGCAGCAACGCACTGCCTGCTAAAGCGACTGCAGTTGCAACAACACCTTCTGCTGCAGCGGGAGGCCCACAAGCTTGTGCTGCAGCAGCAGAGACAGCACAGTTTAAGGGAGCCTCCTTTTTCCTGGTGTTGTTTGGTGCTTCCTCTCTGTTTGCTTCGGGCAAAGCATCGCATGCAAACTGTTGTGTTTAAAGCTGTAGAAGTGCAGCTGACCTTCTGCTATTTACAAAGCACTCAAAGACAGCACAATTACAAACAGATCCAAACCCCACAACTCAAATCTTTGCTCCACTTAAGCACAGAAAAGGCACAAAAAGATGCAATGAGAACTTAACCCAGGAAGTGGATAGCTGGAAGGCCGTCTGCACGCTGGTTATCCGCATGCATTTGCTGGTTCTTTCGCTTCTTCTGCTGCTGCTTTCGTTTCTGCTGCTGATGCTGTTTCTGCTGCTGTCATTTTCCCCTTTGCTGGCGTTGTTGGTGTGTCTGCTGCTGCTGCTGCTGCTGCTATTTCGTGCTGCTGGCGTATTGGTCCCACTGGTACTGCAGTTGCTTCTGCTGTTGTTGCTGTGTCTGTTGCTGCTGTTGCGCCTGCTGCTCTTGCTGCTGCGCTTGCTGCTGGGGCTGATGCTGCTGTAGCTGCTGGATTGTATGCTGTCGTCTGAACTCTTTTGACTCTTTTTGCAATATTCGCTTAAGTTGCTGCTCAGCGCTTCTGCTGTTTCCTGTTGAGCCCCGTCTATGGTGTGGAGCCACTAAACCCTAAACCCTAAACCCTAAACCCGTTCTAGAATGTCCGTTTCGCATTCATCTGCATTAGCCTCACTTTTTTTTCATTCTGAAGTACTCCCCATTAAAAACTTAAATGTATATTTGCTTATAAATAAAACTGCACTCTACAAAGCCCCCCTTTCAACCCGTTTGCTTTTGTTTGCTACTCCCTTCACTTTGCTGTTTCGCTGTTCGTATGTGTCGCGCTCACTCCTATGAGGTAGAAGAAGGCCTCAGTGGCTTCCTTTTGCTGCTTAAGAGGCAGCCACTCCACTACGTGGGGCAGCAGCCTCAGCCAACTAACGGCGCACAACGCATGCAAAAATATAAAAATATATAAGAGCCCCAAACGGCAGCGCAGTGATCATATGTTTGCTGCATTTGGCTGCTGGTAGTCCTTAAAATGCAGCGAAGAAAAAGACAAAAGCAAAAAAAGACAATACCTCGCCACACCGCCTGCCTCCAACAGCAAGCGGCTGGGGGGCCCCACGACCTGCAGTAACACAGAACGTTGTTCGTGCTTAGTGCTGCAGCAAAGTGATGCATTTCTTGAAGGAAGTAGCAGCCCTATCAGCAGCTGCAGCAGCAGCCGCAGCGCCATATGAACCGCATGATTTTGCTCAGCTGCTGTGCAGCTGAGCAGAACCATAGAATAATAGCTAGCTATCTGGGTAGGCTGGCTAGAGGGCAATGATAGCCTGCAGAACCCCTGCGATATCTAAGGCTGCAACGTGGCTAGCTGGCTGGCCCTCGTATTCTTTTGTTTCCTGAGGGCCTCCCGACCTCTCCGTCGGCGTTATCCTGAATGTTTATTCTTTTTCTCTGGGGAGCCCCTGCCCTCTTTGGCTTTGCAGCGGGAGACACCACAGCCGCAGCAGCAGAGAAAGCTGCAACAGGATGAACAACAACAGCAGCAGCGACAGCAGCAGCCTCTTCTGCTGCTGTTGCTGCTGATTCCTGGTTAGGAGGGGCAGTGTCGGAAGACGTGTTGCTGCTGCTGCTGCTGCTGCTGGCAGGCAGCACATGCTGAGGTGCTTGCTGAAAGCGTGTCAGCTGGTAGAGGCAGTCATTCGCTGCTGCACAGATGTTGGCTTGGCCTGAAGAACGAGATAAGACGGAAGATAAGAAGGCTTCTCTGTCTTCGCGAGCTTCGATACAACAAGGAGCTCCACTCTGGTCTCTGGGAGATGCCCTTGTGGACTCTTCAGCTCGGCTCTCCTGCTGCTCATCATCGTCATCCTGCTGCTGCTGCTGCTGCTGGTGCTGCTTGTCCTCGTGCGGCTGCTGCACGGGGTAAAGAGGCACAAGGAGACAGCTGTCCGGAGCAGAGGAGGCCCTAGTGTCTCCTGCTGTCTCCCCATAGTCTTGCATCGAATACCCTCGCAAGAAGAAAGCCGCATCTTGTTTACTTTCCCTCTCAATTTTATTTTTTTCTGGAGATTCGTAACAGCCAAAAAGAACAGAAGAATGAGGGAGAGGCTTCCTGAGTAAGACCATTAAGGCCTTCAAGAAAAGAGCATTTGCATCGGACTCTGCTTGCTGCTCCTCTTCGTCTCCCTCAACAAGACTGCCTCCACTAACCCCACCATCTGCAGCAACTGCAGCAGCAGCAGCAGCAGCAGCGTCTGCTGCTGCAGCAAGGTCTACGCAGCTCTCGCTCCCCACAAGGAGACAAGAAGGAAAAGGCATCTCTTCAACAAACATCTCAGGCTCCTCCATCTTCCCGCAGCACCGATCCCTAGGAGAACGGACATCCACAACAGTCATCTCAAACCCTCTTTGTCTTTCAGGCCAAGAGAAGGCGGCCGGCTGTGGGGCCCTTAAACAGCTGCCAGTGTGCGCTGCAGCAGCGACTGCAGCAGCAGCAACTGCAGCAGCAGCAGCAGCAGCAGAGGCTCCCAAGCCCCCTGCCCGCAAGCCTTGAAGCTGAAGCCGCTGATAAGATGCAACACCTGGCGGCCACCCAATAAATCTACCTTGAACGTCAGCAAGAGTATCAAGGCTTTGGTTAGTGAGGCTGTTGTAGTTGCTGCTCTGTGGATTCGCAGCAGCAGCTGCTGCTGCGGCGGCTGCAGCGGCGGCAGAAGCAGCGTCAGCAGCTGCTGCTGCGGCGGCTGCAGCTCCAGCAGCCCTGGCGGCAGCGCCTCCTCTTGTTCCTCTCCGTCTGCGGCCCCTCTGCCTAGGGGGAGCCCGAGGAGGCTTGGGGGGAGGGTGCGGCTCTCCATGTTCAAGGTGATGCAGCAGCAGCAGCCGTTCTTGCTGCTGAACGACATAGTGACGTTCCAGTCGGCTGATCTGTCTGCATGCATACAGCCCGTGTGCATCCGATCTAAAGCAGAGAGGGAAGCCTGTGGGGGCCCCAAAGGCCCCAGGCGTTGCCCCTAGATCCTCTGGAGGAGCCCCTGGGCCCTCTTGTGCTTCTGCTGCTCCGCAAGAGACAGGAGCTCCAACTAGGAGCTCTAGATTCTCTTCTGGCTTTGCATAGGGGCGCGCAGCATGAAGCGAAGGGACACCCAAAGAGACAGCTGGAAGGGAGGAGCAGGGGCGAAGCTCCTCAGCCTCTGTCTCCTCGAGGCCCACAGGTTGCTGTGGCGGGGGCCCCCCATGAAGCGGAGCTAAGTACGGCTTACCAGGAGAGACACCGTCTGGAGGAGGAGACACTTGGTTTAGGGGGGAGGGGGGGCAGAGGCGCAGAAGGGGGGCGTGAAGAAGTGTGTCTGCCGTGGAAGAGAAAAGAGAAAGGGGAGTGTCTAGGCCTCTGAGGAGACAGTTGGTTTCCAAGTGTTCTGCTGCTGCCCCGTCTCCTCCCGCCTCCTGCAGCTGCTGCAGCGAGGAGACCAGAGGGGCCTCTTTGCCTGCTGCTATGACTTTCATAGTATCTGTAGCTAGAGAGATAACTGCTGCTTTTGTATCGAGGCTGCTAAAGCGAACAAGCTCTTGCAAGTCTCTGTCTTGTGTATTTTGTCTTAGGGAGGCGACCTCAACGAGAAGTTCCGGGTACTGAGCGAGCATTTGTTCTGTCTTATTGGTGATGCATCGAAGAGACTGCAGCAATTCGTTGTGCAGCTTCTGCTGCCGCTGCAGCTCCCGCAGCGTCTCCCCGTGCTCCTCAGCAGGCATGATATACTTTATCAATGCAGCAAAGGGACCCGTATCCACTCTAGGCAGCGCGAGGCAGGCATCAGACTGCTGCAGCAAGTGGGCTACCCGCGCCACCAGGGCTGTTCTATCTAATCTCTGCTTGCTGGGGGGGGCTGAGGAGAGGGGGGGAGAAGGGACGCCCTTGAGGCTTTCAGGGCCCTTAGAGCCTTGCGGAGGCAGCAGGTGAGAGCTCCTGAAGGTCTTCCCCAAGGCTGCAGCATAACGCGAAGCACGCGGCACTATTGCTGCAGCAGCAGCAGCAGCTGCTGCTGCAGCTGCACCTGCTGCCCCTGCCACATCTGCTGCACCACCTGCGGAGCAGTCTGCCCCCCTCCCCAAAGAAGGAGAAGAACTATGAGTGATAATTTTATCTGTCTTCTCCTCCGGCTTTACTGGGAAACCCACCTCCAGGCCCAAGGGTTTACTGCTGTTGCTACTATACTTTGTGCTGCTACTAGCCGTGCCGCTGCTGCTGCTGTTGACGCTCTGGCTGCCGGCGGTTGTGCTGCTGCTGCTGCTGTTGTTGCTAGTAATGGCGCTGGTGCTGTTGCTGTTGCCAGTGTTGCTGCCGCTGCCACTGCTATTAATAATACTCCCACTGGTGTTGCTGCAGCTCCTATTGGTAGTGTTGCTGCTGCTGCTGCTGCTGCTAGTGCTGGGGTGGGCTTGTAGCTGTTTTGTTGCGAGGTTGAGAAGCTCTGCTTTTTGTGTGTCTAAGTCTTCCTGGTGAGCCATGAGGCCTAGAATGCTGTTCAAGACCTGCTGTGTGCTGCCTCCATCTCCACAGTGCAGCAGCCCGGTCCCCTGAGCCTGCTGCAGCAACTTGAGTTGCTGCTGATGCTGCTCCTTCAGCTGCTTCTGCACGTGTCGCTGCTGCTGCTCGCCCTCCTTTTGCGTGCGCTGGAGCTTTTCCAAGACCTCCATTGCTGCGCATCGCTTCGTTTCTTGCTCAGGGCATTGGGAGGCCTGCGGAAGCTGCTGCTGCTGCTGCTGCTGCTGCTGCTGCTGCTGCTGCTGCTGCTGCTGTTGCGGCTGTTCCTTCGAAGGCTCCGCCTCCTCCTCCCACTGCACAAACGGTCCCTGAGCAAGAAGCAGCATCGCTCGCCGCACCCCCTTCTGATTTTCAGGTAGATTCTGTGGTTCTGCAGCAGCGACCTGTTCAAACTGCTGCTGCTGCTGCTGCAGGACCTGTTCTTCCTCCTGCTGCGTCTCGTCTAGGGCCGTCAGCTGCATTTGCTGATGCCGCCGCAACACTTTGTTTATGGTGTCGTGATGCCACGAGAGCTTGATGCGCAGCACAGTACTTGCAAGCCGTTGCAGATGCTGCTGCTGCTGCTGCTCCACCTGTTCGCGCTGCTGCACATGCATCTTCGCGACTGCCTCCCGTTGCTGCTGATGAATGTACCGTAGCTGCCTCAGGTGAAGCCGCATCTGCGCCCGCAGCAGAACCCTGGCCTCTCTCCACATGACGTCGGGGGCCTCTCCGTGGCTCAGGGCTTCCTGTAGGTCTTGAAGTTGCGCCGATTGCATTTGCTGCTGCTCTTGCATCTGACGCCAGATTTGGTGCCCCTCCTGCTGCTTTTGATGCTTTGCCTGTTTCTCTCTCCAGCACTGTTGCTGCTGCTCAACCTGCTGTTGAAGTGCCCCCACTTGCTGGTGCTGCTGCACAATAGAAGGCGAAGAAGAACTCCTCATCAGGCCGCTATCACGCAGTAGTTCATTGTTTCCTAGCTGCTCCTCCTGAAGCATCTTCTGCTGCTGCTGCTTCTGCTGCTGCTGCTGCTGTTGGTGCAGGTACTGCAGCCGCTCTAAAGCATGCTTCATATATTGCGCTTGCTGCTGCAGCGTCGTTGCATGCGGAGACGATGGCTGCTGCAGTAGACTGGATGTCTGCTGTTGCTGCGGGAGGCCCATCTGCTGCAGTTGCTGCAGATGGTGGGGCAGTTGAATTAGCTGCATTTGGTGCAATTGCTGCAGTTGCAGCAGCCGCTGCACCTGCTGCTGTGCTTGTATGGGCTGCGGCATATGCTGCTGCTGCTGGCGCTGCTGCTGGTGCTGCAGGCGCAGCCTTTGGAGCTGCTGCGATATCTGCAGCTGCAGCGGGAAGTGAGCAGCAGGAGGCTTCATCTGCATCTGCTGCTGCAGAGGCGGAGACTGAGTCGCTTGCCACGGATTGCTATGAGCTAGTTGATGCAGCAGCCGGCGCAGCTGTGCTTGCTCGTGCCCCATGATTTGCTGCAGTTCGCCAGTTGGGGTTTGTTGCTGCAGCTGCTGCTGCAATTGTAAGTGACTCTCCAGCAGGTGCTCCTGCTGAAGCTGCGCTGGTCGCTGCATCTGTAGCAAACGTTGTTGCTGCAGGAGTTGTTGCTTACGTAGGAACTGCTGCTGCAGCAAATCTTGCTGGGTCCTACCCGATTGCTGCTGGTCTTCTCCTAGGTGCTGCAGTGATTGCTGCTGCCGCACCACTTGACCTAGCTGCAGCGGCTGCTGCTGAGGCAGCTGCAGCAGCTGCGTCTGTGGCATGGACCTCAACTGCAGCTGCTGCTGCTGGGCAGCGAGACGCGGCGGGAGCTCTACTATCGGCAGCAATGCCTCTTCCAAGCTCGATCCCTGCCACTGCATGCATTGCCGCTGCTGCAGCTGCTGCTGCCGCTGCAGCATCAATATATCCTGAGTGGGCACCTGCAGCTGGTTAGCCGTCTTCTGCACAGGAATCCGTTGCTGCCGCCGCGCATGCACGGGCTGTACTTCTTGCTGCCCCTGGTGCTGCAGGGGCTGCCGCTGCTGCGTCAGTTGACACTGCGCTTCGTGCTTCTGCACTGCTGCTGTTGCTTCTGTCGGCTGCACGGGATGCTCCACGACCTGCAGAAGCTGCTGCGGCTGCACGTGGGGCAGCTGCTGAGCTTCTGGATGCTGCTGCAGGCCCAACAGCTTCTTGAAACATTCTTGCTGCTGCTCTTGCTGAGCCTGAAGAGGCTGCTGCTGCTGCTGCTCAAGCTGCTGCTGTGGCCACATTTGGTTCCGCGGCATTGTTTGCTGCTGCTGCTGGAAAAACTGGTGCTGCTGCGCTTGTTGATGCTGCATTTGCAGCTGCTGCATCTGTAGCTGCTGCATTTGAAGCTGCTGCTGCATGTTAAGTTGCTGCTGAACGTCCAGGTCCCGCTGCAGGTGTAACTGATGCAGCGACAACTCTTGGGCCTGTGGCAACTGCTGCTGCAGCGCGTACGGCGTCCTCTGTTGGAGCTGCTGCCGCTTCTGCTCATGTTTAATTTGCAGCTGCTGAAGCAGCTGTTGCCGTTCCGCTGGGGTCGTGTCCGTAAGTGTTCTTTGTCCTGTAGTTAAATATGCGTCGGACGGCTGCTGCTGTTGCTGCCGCTGCTGCTGCTGCTGCTGCTGCAGCGTGGACACTTGCAGCTCTGCAACGGTGCCTGCGGCAAGATTGCAACTCTGCAGTGCCAGTGGTTGCTGGTGTGTCTGGTGCTGCTGCCCGCCGATCATAGGATCCTGCTGCTGCTCATTGTTAGCAGAGAGACAAACACCCGGTTGTGGCTCTCCAAACTGTTGAGGTTCACTTTGAGGCTGCCACTCCTGCTGTTGTTGCTGATGCTGCTGATGCTGTTTCTGCAGTTCTTGCTGCTGGGACCATGATGCTGTGCTGCGCAAAGAGTCGCGTGGCTGCTGCTGTTGCTGCTGTTGCGTTGCAACTGCATGCGCTTTATGCAACTGCTGCAGCAGGCGCTGGTGTTGGTTTTGCTGCTGAACTTGCAGCGGCTTAGCCCCTGCTGGTGCCTCCTGCAGCGTCGTTTGCTCCTCTTGAAAATGTTGCTTTTGCATCGAGCTCTGGACCGATCCCATACTTTGCTGATTCACCGGTTCCTTGTTTAGGTGTATCTCTTGGCATGCGCTGCTTTGTGTAGCGTACTGCAGCAACCCTTTGGGTTGATGCTGCAGGTGAAGCGTTATTCCGAATGCTGTACAGACCCCTTCTGTTCCCGTTGTGTTTTTGTGGGGTTGTTCGACGTGCAACTGCTGCTGCTGCCTCTCTTGCCCGTACATCGCCAAGCCATGCTCTACAAACCGCTCTTCGCTCTGCGTTACACGCTCTGCAGGGAGTTGGTGTTCCTGGCTGCTGGCTGCTGCGCTATCAGTCTGATGTGCTTGGCAAAGTGCTGGGGGAGGCAGCAAATGCAGCTGCTCCTGCTGCAGCAGCCGCGGTCGCGGACGTGCTAGGGGCTCCTCCTGACTATCCTGAGGAAGCATACAGATCTCGTGGTGCTGCGACAGCGGGGTGCGTTGCTGCTCTTCCTCTTGCACGTGATCAGCACTTTGCTGCTGAGGTGACAGAGGGTGGTGCTGTGCTGCTGCAGAATTCAATGGGGACTGAACATCCCGCTGCAGAGGTTCCCCTGCTGCAGGTGTGTGAGTGGGCTGTTCCTGCAAGCAAGCGTTACGCTGTCCCTGTTGTAGCATCTGCTGCTGCATCATGAAGTTGGTCTTCTGCTGCGAGGAAATCTCGCTCTGCAGTTCTGTGCGTGTATGTGATTCCTGCGTCTCGTCTTTCGTTTGCTTGCCCTTATTGTTTACGCCGCCCTCTTTGTGCCGCAGCCACCGCAGCTTCTCCTGCAGCTGCCTCTCTCTCAATCGTTGGAGGCCCTTCTCTGGCCAGCGGTGCTCGCGAAGCTTGTGCATCTTTCTATCTTGCAGCAGCTGCTCCTTATTGAAATCCCTTATAGTCTTTTGCTTTCGAGGTCCCTGATCTTCTCCCCGCTGCTGCTGCGGCTGCTGCTGTTGCTGCCCATCCTCAGCGTCCATTTGGAACCGCAGCTGCTGCAGCTGGTTGAAACCCCCCACATGTTCTGTGTCAACAAGTTTGATAGGTTTTCTTTTAGGTTTCTCTTGTGGAATTTGATGTCCAGCTTCTGCCATGCGTTTCCTGTAGAGTTGTTTTTCTGTCTGTATTTTCTTTTGCCGTTCTTTTTCCTGTTCAACAAGGAAAGTCTCTTCCTCGTGGTTGAGCAGCATCTGCTGCTGCATCACCGCGTGGATGTCCTCGTCCTTCATAGGGCTTGCATGCACTTTTCTCAGGTATTCGCGCGGCTGTGGCCACGCGGGCGTGGGGGGTTCGGGGGGCTGGGGAAAGCCCAGGGTGCCGTTGACCTTGCGAATGAGCTGCTCCATTTCTCTGCTTTGTTTCCGTCGAATGTCAGCTGATTGCAATCTGTGAAGATGCTGCAGTTCTTCTCCTTGCTGCACGTGGCGTTCCCGCTGCGCCGCCAACTGCTCCAGAGACAGCCGTGGCTGCAGCTTCATCTGTTCACACTGCAATTTCCTAAGCCTTTCCAGCTGATCTTTGTGCTCTAGCCAGACTGTCTGCCTCTCCTTCTCCTGCTGCTGCCTCAGACTGTCAATTTCGTACAGCAGAGTTTGCTCTTGCAAGGCTGATGCCTGATGCATATCCTGTGGCCTCTCCTCCCGTCTACTTGCCGGCATCTCCCCAGGCAGCTGCTGCTTTTCTACAGCCAGCGGGAGACATATGCGGCCTTCGAGCTGCTTTTCAGTCGGCAGCTGATATGGCGTCTCATCTGGGAAATGCAGCTGCTGTTGCTGCAGCTGCTGTTGCTGCTGCTGCTGCGGCTGAATATCGAGGTCCTGCTGATAGTTTTGCAACTCCTGCAGCAGCTCTGCAGGGGGGGAGACTTCTTCGTGCACAACTACTTCAACTGCCGGATGCAAATCGGGTTCATCGTGAGACATGAACAGCTGCTGTTGTTGATGCATAAATTTTTCTATTGCATCTATATCTTGCCGTACAATTTCGAGTTGTTGCTCCTGCTCCAGCAATCGGAGCTGGTGTTGCGACTGGGATTGTCTCCGATACTGATGGTGTTGCTGTCTTTGTTGCAGCCTTTCGTGTCTTGGTCTCCGCTGCTGTTGCCTCTGCTGGTGTGAGATGTGGCTCGCTTGTTTTGAGTTGGCTTGCGTCATTCGCTCTTGTTTTCGCTGCTGCTGGCGGGGGTGCTGCACAGGAAGCGACTTCACCGCCTGCTGACCTGTAGCAACCTCGAGCACATGCTGTAGCTGAAGCTGCTGTAGCTGCTCATGAGGTTCTTCCCGTTGCTGTTGCTGCTGCTTCTGCGATAAGTGTAATTGATGATTCAGGTGTTGCTGGGGCTTCGAATAAGCTGTTCTTCGGCATTTGGGCTGTGGTTGCTGCTGTGGTTGTTGCTGCACACACTGAAGTGCATGTAGCTGCCGATGCACTTCGTGAAGCTGCTGCTCCAGAAGGACATCCTTTTCCGGTCCTTGCAATTCCCCTGCTGTGGCGTTGATGTTGCTGGCTTGCTGCTGCTGTTGCAGCTGCTGCTGATGCTGCCTCTCATCGACAGATTCTCTACCCCCCTCTGTGGGAACGCTCCCACCAGCAACAGAGAGGGGGCGAAAAACAGGTCCAGCGGGCCACTGGCTTAAGGTGGGCTCATCACGTTTTCGGGTACTAAATGCCTTCTGCATGCAACTGGGAGGAGCTCCTCGTTGATGGTGCTCCATCTGGTAGGTCACAGTTTTGGCTACTGATAGTGCTGCTGCGGCGGCTCCAGTTCTGTGGATTGGGTCTGCTCGAGATGGCTGTCCAGGACTGAACACAAGGCCTTTAGCACTCCTTCGTGTTGCTTGTTCAGCTCTAGATGAAGCAGCAGATGTTGTCTCTGGGACAAGGACAACGGAGGTGGTGCAGCGACACTTCTCGCTGCTGCCCCTGTGGCTGCAGTTGATGGTCTTGAAACAGATGTCTTTGCGATGGCTGTTCCTGAGGTGGAGGCTAATGCAGTTGTTTTAGAAGGCCCTACAGTCACCGCACCGGCTTCAGCGGCTTTCTTCTCTGCCAGAAAAGCTAGTCTCCTGCTACTTCGTGTTTTCAGAGCTGCTGGAGAGTGGCCCTGGGCAGGAAGATGCTGGGACACACCCTGATGTTGCAGCTGCTGCTGTCCTTCTTTCGTCTGCTGCTGGTGTTGCGATCGCTCAGCCTTGACAGTTTGCTCAGCCCCGCAATGCCTGCACAACGCTTCGTACAACAGACTTGGAAGCAGATTTGTTGTTTGCAGGAGAGTCTCATATGATAGGTGCATCTGCTCTTGCAGTAAGAGCAAAAAGGGCCACAGCTTGTTAGTACGCCTGATGGTGTGGTGGCCGTTTGCGCTGGAATCGTTTTCACTGTTACCGCTGCTGCCGTTGTTGTCGTCACATGCGCCGTTGCTGCAGATGGCGTTGCTCCCGTTCCCCGTGCTGTTGGAATTGCCGCCAGCAAAAGTCTCCAGTTCTAGGTCTTTGTAGAGATGCAGGATGCCGTGAAGGGCTTCAATTTGGAGATTTATCTGCTGCAAAAGATTAAAGTGACGGCGAACTGTCCTGCGCGGCGTAAGCAGCTCTGGTGGGTTAGCCACAGTTTCTGCAGCCTCTGCGGCTGCCCCCGCTTGCGCTGCGCAGCAGAACAGTTCGCTATGCAGATGCGCTGGCGTGTAGATCTCCAAAGGGGTAGAGGCAGTTCCCCTGCCAGCCTCAGCCGATGACGTGACAGGCACAGACAAGGTTTCAGGCCCCTCTGGTTGCTCACAACTCTGTGGGAACGATTCGTTGTAGCCGAAAGTTTCGGGCCACCGCGGTAGGTGAGGAAGCTGCTTCGTCGTGTTCTCTGCAGCCGAAACAGCAGGCACGCTATTTGCTGAAGGAGAAGAAGAGGCGCTTGCGGCAGAAGAAACTTCACTGGAGAATGTTGCAGTAGAATGTTGGCGTGCAGAGTCCTGGGTGGACTGTCGAGAAATGGTCCAGGGAGTCAACCTGCATGCTGCACCCTGGCGAGAAGCCTGTGTGCTGCCTGGAAGGGCAGTCCTAAGGGTCAAGCGCAGGGAAACTCTTGCCGATGCACTTTTGTGTCTTCGCCGGACTAGAGTTGAACTGGCCTCTGTGTTTCCACAGTTGCCAGCAATATGCTCTTGCTGTCGTGGCTGCTGATCTGGCGGTCGCTGTGGATTCATATGCGAAGCCAAAGCTTACACTGTTCGTCAAACAGCAAGGCTAGCAGCAGGCTACCGGTCACTTCGGGGAGCCTCGAATTGTCGCTTCGTTTCTGCTTCGGCTGTCTTTATTTGAATATGCAAGAGGGGACGCCCATCGAAGCAGATTGATGGCTGGCGTACACTACCATCAACAATTAAATAGTGCGTTTCGATGGTATGTGTTCGAGCTTCACCTAAACAACATCAAACTCTCTTGTAAAAGGACAAGCATGATTTGTTCGTCTGTACAGGGCGCAAGACTGAAAGAAAGAGGCCTTGAATTCTCACGTAAGGCGTCACTGAGTTCTGTGTCTAGGAGCCACCGACCACTCCGTCAACTCTGTTTGATCCAAAAGACACGAAAAAGTCGAAGGCAATCGGGAAAAGAAAGCTGCAGAAAACTGCTGGCGCTCGTGTACATACTCTTCTCCCACGAAGGTCACCTGCGGGTGACCAGCAGCACTTACAGGGGTTTCGAAGGAGCCAAAGAAATCTGCCAAAAGGAAAGTAGGCCTTAATTCGCTGCCCGAACAAACAAAAAGTGAAACTGGTATAGAAACGGGAACCTGTTTGCTGCTTACTGACAGCCCCTGGCAGACCTGAAGACGCTGGACTGGTCTGGGCTGGTACCGTGCATGGCCCGCCCGAGAAGGCCGACGCACGGAACTAAAATTCCATGGTAGATGCTTGTGGCGTTTCCCTTTTGATAATCCCCGAAAGATGGGTTGGAAATCGAAGAACATTACATGGCTTGAAGGCTTCAAACTGTCCCATTGGCCCGTTACGCAAAAGGCTAGCGCATCAACAACCGTAACACGCGGTTCCCTGATGAGTTATTTCTGCAACAGACTAGCACATCTAGAACCTGCAAGACCCATCCTACATTATTGTCTTCCTGAATTGACAATCCATGCCGTAGATTAGGTGTATGGCATGGATTATCAATTCTAGCTCACTTCCGGCGCCAGACGATGGAGGGCCTGGTGTGAGCGCTAACAGCGCATTGGTGTTGCTTCATTTAGCACAGGATACACCGCTTGGCTTGTTGTCGTCCTTTTTTTCCGTTTACTACTGAATGCGAATATGAGCGCAAGGGGCAAAGCTCTCAGGTGATTCGGGCTTAGGGGCAAAGTGTGACGACGGTCAGCGATCTTGTCCTGAGACCATCGTGAGCTGCAGTCGAGCGTGGCAACTGATAAGGAAAATTCGCAGCAAGCAGTTGAGACCCCCTCCAGCAACCAGACGTTCTGCGCACAGGGGCCAAAGGGCCTGGGAATGTGGATGGTGAGGCGGCCTGAGGTGAGTGGCAACCTTCCCGGTTGGAACTAATGCTGCATGGCCCCTCACATACACGCAAAACTAAAGCCACGTTTACACACTTGCAACCTGTGTCAAGCGGGAATATCATGCGCCGACCACTTATAGGAACTTGGATAATCACAGGGTTCACTCGACGTTTACTTGCAGTTGCGGATGTCACCGCTGTCGGCCCCCACTGTGTCGAACGTTGCATGGTGGCCCCGTTGTTTTATTGACAGTATTGTTTGTTTAAAACAAACATTGCTGTCAGTAAAACATCGGGAGACGTTGCCGAAGACAGCCCTGCCCTTAACACTGATATCTGAGTTCCTAGTTACCCGTTCGATTTCTGTTCGCCTTCTCGATGTAGCGCTGTATCAACAGCTTCCCGTCTTATCCGGTTTTTTAGTTCTGCCTTTGCGCTTTCCCTTGCCAGAATGGGAATTAAAGTACATCGCAACTCATCTCGGAAAGCTTCTATACTCCGGATGTACCCCTGGCAAGTGGCGCCGTTGGCTAGATATTCCCATCATTGCCGTGAGACCCCTTCTAGAAAGGAAGGGGCCACTATCAACTGCACCATTTCGAGTGCTTTTTGGAGGCTTTCAGAAGTGAAACGAACTCTTCCACTGCCGCCGAGTTGCGCCGCCCGTCATATCTGGTCATCAAAGGCGGTGGCATTCTTCATGAGCTGCTTTTGCTGGAAAGATATTTTCCGCTAGATAAGATGCAGTTACTAAGACGGTGTCAACAAGACAAGGCCCCCAACCGTTGATCAGCATTTAGTCTGAGGGCATATCTTGATCAGCCTCCATATCGCCAGCAAACGAAACGGCTGAGGTCTTGAAAAAACTTTGGGGAGTTTCTAGACATACCTCTGCTTTTTTCTAAAGCACCTTCAGGCCTAGGCACTGATGTGCAGCAGGCCGCCCTGCACCAGCAGTGGAGTTGTCTGCACCCACTTGTCACGATGAACCAAGCGTGCTACTAAGTGTGAGGAGAGTCCGCCGCCTTTTCCGGTGATTCTCATGTACAGCCACATAGCCAAAAGTCCTAAGGTACGATTTACAGGAAACAGTTCCTCTCTCACCCAGTCCCCAATCATTGGGCGCACAGCGGTCCAAGGGCCTAGAAAAAGCCCTAACCCTGTCCAGGTGAAGAGCGCATTTAAAATTGTTAGCGACCGCCGTTTTCCTATGCTCTTTTGGGGTCAGCGGCCTGGCATAACGTGGGACGCACCCCGTCCGAACTCGCTACGAGGGTACTTCATGGGCAAGCTCAACAAATCCCCCTGCCTCCGTCTGTACTAACCATACAGAGATTTGCTGTACTTTTTTTTGCTTGTTAGGTTCCCTAGTAAGGCCAAGTAAGCGCTGATGTACCAGTTTTGCACACACCCTGCTACAAATAAGCTAAATGGAAGCCGTACCTCGACGTATTCTGCCCACGAAAAAGCTTGTGTCCAATGGTACCTGCTGATCCCAGAAGAGCATTAAAAAGCGGCTGTTGTGGAAAAGATGCTTCTTTTTCAATAACAATTTCAATGGGCCCATCTCGTGAGGTTGTTGCATTCGTCTCACTAAACACGGCGGTGGATTACGACAAACGGCACGATGTACAACGAAGGAGACGGTGAGGGCATTAAAAAGCGTAATCAGCCATGACAGCAAAGAAAAATACAATTTAGGCTCGGCGTACTTGCGCTTTGGACTGGGGGAGCGCGAAGGTGCCAGGAACTGGGAGCAAGTGCTCGGACCGTTCCGTCCGTACAGGGCAGGAAGGGCGTCAGTTGTGCACCCTTGCCTTCCGTGATTCCACCAGTTATCGTATAACGCAGTATTAGAATCCCAGGAGTCACTCACATTCAGTAAATAAGAAGCTGCTGAGGAAAAGCACCTTCTTATGTCTTGCACGGGTGCTTCGAGTGCCAGACCGCTTCACTACAGTTCATTGAGCTGTGGCGAGCCGGGGCTCAGCACGTTTGGCAGATGCAGGTAATGCAATTAATCTCCTCGCTTGTGTAAGTGCATTAACAAACGGCGAAATAGCGCTGGCTGAACCACAAGTCGTCTCAGCCTATGTGCACTGTAGGTTTGAAACGGGACTCGTTGGGGGCGAGCATTGCACATAGTGAAGCGGAGGGTCTCTCAAGATAAGAATACTGGATTAAGAGCCACCTTCTCTTTACTAGTTTAAGGGAAGGTATTTCTTTCCTCTTCATGTCTAACAGAGCCTGTTAGCAGAGACGACGCTATGCATCGCCCGTCCCGCGCAGAGATTGGTTCCCGTGTCCTGCTCACCAGGCAGCACAGTGCTGATGTTTCCGCTGATATGCAACGGTTCGATCTGCAACGATTCGACAACGCAAATGGGAAATATAGAATATTGGGGAGAAGTCGGCGCTCACTCACTTCCTCTGTCTGCGGAGCTTGGGCAGTGCTACTAACGGCACTGGCAGTTGCGACGCTCTTGTCAAAGTGCTTCCATTTCCTTGGCAGCTGGAGAAGATATGGAGATGGGAGAAGGCGGCTGGCAAGCGATGGGACCAACCCTCCAGAAGACCCTGATACACGGGCCATTGTTGACCTCTGTCTCGAGATGGACGAAATCGCCACAGGTGGCTTTTTTCCGGCCTTACCAGCTACGTCTGTGCTGTCAACCACGGGCATAACGTTGGCAGCGGCATCACCGTCATTATTTCGGTCTGGGCTTGGTCAGCGTGCACCTCAGAGCGGTCAGACGATCGAACAGTTCTGGGGATGGCCACCCCAACCTCAAATCCTTGCCTCAACTCACGCACCGGTTGTTACTCACACTCCAGCAACGGTTGTTACTCACACTCCAGCAACGGTTGCAGCGCAAACGCCAGGAGTAAACTCCCCTCCATTGTACCAAGTGGCAAATCAGAGACGGTCTCCTGGGAGCATGCTGACGTGGAGTTTTAGCCACGGGCTTGGCCATTCAGGGTCGAGCTTGTCTGCTGCAGCCTACTCAGTATTGGAAACGAAGAATCCGTCTCCAGCAGAGCATTTCACACTATTCTCTCCAGAAACTTCACTTGGTAGTTCCGCTGGGGGGCACCTCCAGTTCGAGTTTTCAGGGTGGAGCGGAGCACTCACAACAGATCAGCCTCCGGTATCACTGAACCCAAGCCCACAAACATCCCTAAAGATACCCCCTTGGTCTGATCCTCCAGAGCCGGATTCTGGCGATTCTGATCCTGAAGAGGGGCCCTCAACTGGACTGAGAACTCTATCCGCAAGGGGTGTGGGGGCAAAGTTTCCCGTGATAGGTACGAAGCGGAAGGGATATCCGGACGCCTCGTCAACTACTTCGTTGGCGACAGTGGCTGGTTCTGCACCTGGACAGATGAAGCGGAAGAAACATTCAGGGGGAAAGATGATACCCTCTTCTATATTTCCTCAGTCATTGGTTCCCTCGACTGTTCTGAATCCAGAACTGCATCTCTTTTATCGAATTCCAAGGGTGGATTCTTCTGCTATCACAACTGTGTTTTCCACAACCTCAGCATTTACGAGCGTCAGACTGCTAACCGTGCCGTACTACGGCATATTGGCCTTGCGTAATTTTCTCTCAAAGGAGGCTGTTGTTGAGAAGGAGGTTACTGCTGCTATTCGAGCGGCCGAACGACTTGTGAATTGCCTGACCCACTTCCATTTAGAGCCTGTTAGCTATTTGAGGCCACACGAGGTTTGCCGCATCCTGGGAATGCGATTCTTGGCGTTGGATGCACTTCTAGCCTTGTCGGAAGCGCTAGGACCTTCAATGCATGTAGAGGAGTGGTGGGGCAAGCTTGTACAGAATATGCCATGTGATGTGCGTTTTAAGTTTCTAGTTGAGAAATCTGCCCTCCAAAATCCCAATGCTTCTCTCGCGTTAAGGCTAAGCCGAGCCATTGCGTGTTTAAAGCATGGATCGCGTCTTGATGCCCGTGAAACAGTAGAATTGAAGCAAAGCTTGTTTTGCAGTGAGTATTCTCCTTCGTTTTTCAAAAAGCCCAAGTGGAAACCTTGGCGTGAGGATGATGCTTCCTCGTCATCCCCTCCCGGTGATTAACAGTGGACTTGAGTGTCATCCGATGGAGGGGGGAGCCAAACACCACTTGCATTGCATGGCTACCGGTGGAGTATGAATTGTGTCTGCCGAAAGTCACCTGATTTGTCAACCTTTGGAGATTTATGAACGAAGTGTATAGGTTCCTGTGTGAGCACTCATGCAGATCATGGTACTCTGGCATGAAAGGTTTCTCGCTAGGAGATGTATTGGCGGTTGCGCTGCGCAAGTGTTTGCTTGCCTACAGCGCATGATGCGCCAGTGTGACCTCTCCATCAAACCTGCAGACAAAGAGCCCTGTATCAGGATTTTTTCTCTTTGCAACAACTTTGGAACTATAGCCACCCCCTGTCAAATGTACGGTACGTGATCACAGGAACCGTCGTCCTTACGCGCGTTGGAACGCCGCCGCATGGTACTGCAATTCGCAGTTTCTCAGGGGTAGCTTTTTCTTGTTTCTTGAGCTGTACGCCGTAAACATCTGCGCTGTGATTGCCAATTTTCCGGCACTCTAGTCGAGGCGTTGACCCCTTGCGGGTCAACGCCTCGACTACAGTGCCAGTCCCTCAGCCAAATACGGTAATAAGAGCTTACTGCAAGAGCTACCATCTTGGAGTCCGGCAGCGCCATCGAGTATTCGACACTGAATCTTAGGCCAACGGCATAGCGGTCGGGGTATTGCTTTCTCAGCAAACCAACAACTCCTACAAAGAACCGAATGGTCCCCTGACCTTCATAGAGCTTGTTAGAAGAAGAGTAAGAGCATCCTCAGTAGAAATGAATAAAGTAACATTACACAGAAAAAGAAGCCTTGAGGCTATGGCTGCTCGGCAAGAACCCCAGGTCCTGGGCTTGCTCGGTTTTTCTCCTTAAGGGTTATGAGCGGCGAGTGCGTTTAGGGGTCCTGCCGCTTACTTACTTACGTTTATCAAGGGAAGATTCGCTGAGTGTAGCAGTAGATATAGAGTGAGCACGTACATAGGTGTGTATAGGGTCGCACGTAGTAATAGCCGTGGTTGGCAGCTGCTCACTGAATGATTGGCTCCGTCAGCTAGCCACAGTACTTAATACTATGGCTACCTGCAGTAGAGCGCTCTAATTCCCCCCGTCGGAAACATAAATTATTATTATTCGAAACGTGTGCCATCGAGCATGTAGCAACAGCTTCATTGCGAACAAACGAATGAGGCCTTGAGGATACGCTTGTGGGGGGTTTCCCTCAGGGGGTGGGGGGCGGGGTGGCGGAGCCTGTATGAGTTCACGAGGGTCTTCGCTTTAGTGGAGATTTATGCCGGAGATCCTGTAAAGGCAATTTTATGAATTCATAGGCATCTAGACTTATTAGCTATGTGTGAGTGCACGAAGCGAACGATAGCCATGGAAGCCCCTCATCGATGGGACAGTCGTCTCAGCGCGGCGAGCCAGGGAGGCCTTGAGCAGGTACAAAAGAGACCCTGCAAGGCTCTTTGTATTTGCATTATGATAAGGCAAGGTAAATTCAAGGGTATTTTATGCAGCGGTTGCCGACTGTAAAATATGGGGTGCTAGGCGTCCCGTATGTATTGTTTCTTGCTCGCAGATGAACGAAGCGATCCCCAGTTGTCCGGTACATCCAGCTCTCGGCCTTTGAGCGTTAGCATTCTGCCTTCACTTAGGCAGCCTCCTATTTTTGGTAGGATTGTTGATGTTGATTGCGTTGCCATCTTCGACGAGAGACCAAGGTGCCTCCTGATCGCATCCTCGTTGACATATGCCCACTAGGATTGCGTAGCTCTTTTGCGGATTTGTATGGCTAAAACGCAGCTCTGTCGGCTCAGGGGCCTTAAAAGTATTGGGGTGCGGCAGTTTTATCGAGCTCAGGCACGACACGGATTGCTCTCTCGTCGAGAAGTAAATACATGCTGTGATGCGGCTTCTGGCTATCCACGGGAAAAACATGTGACGGCCAGTCCTCCAAATGACGAGAATAACCGGCAAGAAAAAGTTCCAGTAGTCCACAACGTTATGGCCCTCACCAAGGAAATCCACACCGCGGGGGAAGCGCCTGCTTGATGGGTGAATCTGTCTTGGTCGCTTTTGTCGTTCACATCAATGAAGCGTTTCGGCTATACCGGCGGAATCCTCAGCCTTGGCACTACGTTACTACTGTAATTTGCTATAGGCATTCTCTAGTGCATTTTTTTGAAACGTCTTGCAGTCCGCGTATGCATCTTGATAAGGGGAAATTTATATGAAACGCGAGCTGGAAATCATCCACCGGCTTCTCATTTGCACCAAGCACGACTTTGAAATTCAAGACGCATCGTAAGCGGCGAAATCTGTCAGTAATGGCTGAACCGAATTAACTTCGAATAAATTAGTACATGGGTTCAACGGCCCGAGCTCCTGGCGTTGCTTTTTCGTAGAGTAGTTTTCGTCAAGCGTGATGCGACTGGAGGGCACTCTGATGGAGAGCCTGCCTATGCAGACTCCGTTTGACTTCAAGGATACAGCCGTTTCATTATTATGTGGACCCTGTGACGGTGGCAATCCAGCTTCTTGCCTCCTTCAAACTGCGGGCTCGACCACATCCTTCAGACGACGCCGGGGTTCCTTCCACACATATCCGCGCCAGATATGTGCTGCGCTTCTTTCTGTGGTGGTACTTGTGACCATCATCGTATATTACTTCCGCAAGTGCCACAGTTGGGCGGGGCGCGGCAACTTGCCACGACGGCTTGCAGGTAGAAGGCCCCCATTAGATGAAGACCCTGTGGTTTCTTCCATTGTTGAATTGTGTCTGGAAATGGCATCCGAAAGTAGTAACACTTCCCCGTTCCCATACATTGTTCAGTCACAGCAAGGGAGAGGTCCCCATCTTGAGGCGCAACCTGGCCTCCAGCAAGGCCTACTGGGCATGACAACTGTAAGCGAAACTTCTCCGTCTTCTCCCTATACACAGGGATTTCATATTCAAGGCAGCTACGGCCCGCAGAGAGGCCCACTTGTTGGTTCAGAGGCTTATAACAATGATGAGAGGCCCTACACATCCTCAATGCAACTGCGCATGTCACCACCATATATTGGCGTTGAACCATATACAGCGGCGGAGGGCACCTGGTCTGGACCTATCGTGACTGGAAATATGGATTCATTTGGATCCAGTGCTGTTCCAGCCTTATCTGCACATCCTTGCTCATCCTCAACCCCATGCCTAGACCCAACTGTCACGATCTCGGGGTTAGCAGCGTCTGCCGGTTCATCGATACTTCAACAACCTTTACTTCAAAGCAATCAGCCAAGTTCAGACCATCAGCATTCTTCACCCCTTCTGGGATCTGTGCGACAAAAAAGGCAACTCGAACCAGCGGAGACGTGGGGACCACAAGGGTGGCTTCAGAAGAGATTGAGGGGGGATACGGCTTCAGTAGAGTCCCCACCTATGCCCACATTGGAGTTCAGAGACCTGCAGGCATCAGAAGAGGTGTTTGGTGGGTTCAGCATTGCGTGGTGGGACACTCCTGAGGCGGACGCCGACGACCGGCTGACGAAAGCTATTGAAGGTGTTCCCCATGAGTGGCTTCCACCTCCTTTGGACACTTCTGCGCTCAGTCCAGGTTTAAGCGGAGATGGAGTAAGCTTACCAGTTGCATCTGCCTGGCAAGAGGAAGCTGGGGAACCGAGTGGTTCAGCGTCGGCTCCTGGACAATTGTTGCACAATTATGAAGCTATCCAGTGCTCTTACTCTGCATGCACTGGCCAAACTACGAATGTTTCCTCCGCCTCACTCTCTGAAAGCTACGGTCCACAACCGGGAACTTCGGCGCAAGTTGTTCAGACCCAAAACGCTTTCTACAAGCTTCCGCAGGTGGACGCAAGCGCGCTTCTGGACGTGTTCTCCATTAAGTCGGCATTTACGTACAGCAGTAGTCTGAAGGAATGGGAGACGTTTATGGTGTACATTGATGCAACCCTTTCAAAGGAAAGTCTTTCTGATAGCGAAGCGAACGGGCTGCTTCGTATCTGCGAACGGCTTGTAGGCCATGCGTACCACTTCCAAAGGACAGCGGTCTCAGATCTATCACCCGCCAATGCTGTACCGGTCTTGGGGGTTCGGTATTTGATCCTGGAGTCACTATTGCATGCATCGCAAGTTCTGGGGGGGGCGATGCAAACCTCACAGTGGTGGCAGAAGCTCGTTGACAAGATTCCTTCGAGTGTGGATTTTGATCCAGTAGAGTACCCCCAGCGTCGCTGCCGAGATTATGCACTTCTAGCATTGAAACTGAGTTCAGCAATAGAGTCGTTGAAACAAGGCATGCGGCTACGACCAGCTGAAGCTGCCTCCCTCAAGAATGAGCTGTTATGCAAAAAAACGTGCCATCGAGCGTTCAGGCGCTCCTTTTACGACAACTGGCGTTGTGAGAACGGGAGGACAAAAGGTGACAACGCGGATTAAGTATGCAAAGAAACACTTGAAGTCAGTCGGGTGCATTCTGGGCTGCGCCGGTGCCCAAACGGGACTGGCGAGATGCGCCAGAAGACCCTTGGATTGACCTGGCCTATCACTCTTTGCAATTTCTTCAACAACCATGGACGTAGGAGCAGTTTTTCCCTGGCGTGTATATCGTTGACTTAGCAAACCACGGGCTGCCGCAATAAAGGCCGAATTATGAGTGGACGCCAAAGATGCGCATTGTAAGGATCCGCTTGCGCATGTTTGCCATTGCCCTTCGCATGTCCGGCTGAATCGGCGAAGCATGCAAGCTGGTCAGGTACTACTATGTATTTCTACTACCACACGGTGGATTATCGCCATATAGCAGCCAGGTGGATTACCGCCATATAGCAGCCAGGTCCATATGCATGTTTCTATTCTGTGGTGATGTTCATTTAGGCCTCTGCACAGAGTCAAGCGATGGCAAAGCTTCCATGGCCCGATGTTGCATCACTTGACAGAGCTAGTCGCCTCGGTTCTTCTGTTGTAGTACCCTCTGGCAGTACGCACTGCAGTCACCGCAGTCACCGTTTGTATCGTATTCGCCAAATCGCCACTTGCAGCCACACCTGTTGAGACTTTTCACATGTTGGCGTTATTAAGCTGCATCTTAGTCAGCCCTGCTTCCACCGCATTCACTTCGCCATCCCCCCTCTCCCTTGAAAGTGAGCACTATTAATCGTCACAACAGGCGTACGGCTGCTTGCCTGATTTACGTATGAAAGCATGTGGCGACGCTCTATTTATTTTTCTTCGCAAACTCAGCAGGTGCTTTTTGACAGTTATAGGTGAACACTGCGGGGAACATTCCCCGGTTGCAGTGCCCAATGTGGTCAAATGCGCAGTGAAGGCGCACATATAGATGGTTTCCCTGAACTTTTTTGCATGAGGCTTCTGCCCAGCAGAACGCACTGAACGTTTGAAGCATTTGCTGATTGTTGTACAACAGTTGGCACTTGCTGAGCAGCATGTATTTTCTCTCTCGCTGCAATCTGAAGTGTGCGCGAGAAACTGTAAGCTTATTCGTGCCTTGCGATCTAACCAGCGAAACGCCTTTGGCTGCTGCAATAAACGCGCACTATCTGGCATGCTTGATGAGTGGCAGATCGGGGCGTAGGTTGCGAGTACTCTGAAATCTGTTTTTGCATCAGTTCATCCAGGTGCCTTTCGAGCTGCTAGGGGGCTTAGCGTGCAGACCTTCAGAAGCTGCATGCTGACGAGTGCTTGAATGCAGCAGAGCAAATGCAACAAGACACCCACCCCTGATAATGGCTGTTCGAAGAGCCGGTGGACTACTGCGTGAAGGCACTATGTGGTGAGGATCGCTTAGGCGGCCGGTTAGCTCAACAAGTTCAAATCGCGCCCACGGGCGTAGTCTACGGATGCTGATTTTCATAAGTGCCTGACTCATGCAGAATTTCCCCTTTAAATTTTTTGAGTCAGGATCTCGAATGCTATGAGAGGAGCTGGCGTAGACAGGTGCTTGGGGTACGGCTTCATACACTCTTCTCACGTATTTCATCATCCCAGCTCACTGAAGGCAGATGCTAGGGGGTTTATGCAGCTGCCGCAGGAGACCGCCGAACGGTCTACGTACAGAAGGGAAGAGAGTACAGACGCTGCGTCTGAAGGAGAAATACGGGCCAACGACAGAAATGAATTAGGAGCACTTGCAGATTTTCATGAGTGCCTGACTCATGCAGAATTTTCCCTTTGAACTTTTTGAGTCAGGATCTCAAATGCCGTGGGAGGAGCTAGCGTATTGAACTTTTTGAGTCAGGATCTCAAATGCCGTGGGAGGAGCTAGCGTAGACAGGTGCTTGGGGTACGGCTTCATACATTCTTCTCACGTATTTCATCATCCCAGCTCACTGAAGGCAGATCTTAGGGGGTGCATGCAGCTGCCGCAGGTGACCGCCGAACGGTCTACGTACAGAAGGGAAGAGAGTACAGACGCTGCGACTGCAGGGAAAATACGGGCCAACGATAGAAGTGAATTAGGAGCACTCACGAAGTACCCTCCTTGCAAGCTCGAGAATAACGGCAGCAGGAACACTCAGGTGGGTTTCCAGCTGCTAGGGCCGCCGAGACTGGCTGCTTTTAATGGCACTGCAAGTAAATCTTTGGAGGTAGCTCTTTCTGATGCAGAACGACCGTTACATCTTTGGAAGAGAGCACGGAGGGATAATGGCAGTGTCTGCAAACGAAGGCCAGCCGGAAGTTCCAATTCGCAGACGTCGCCCCTGTTCCTTCATTATGTGCTTGCCAAGGCTCTTTGAAAACGTATCTGCGGCACAAAGCTATTCCACCGCTCCTGCACACCGCTGAATATTTTCCTCTTCCATCCGTTCACAGGGCCTGTGGATAGAAAATCTCGTGAACGCCATTGTCAGCTGTGGAGGCTAATAGTCAAGAAAAAACACCGAAAGCAAGGACCCGTTCATCGATTGCATTACTTCCACGATAGGTTTGTGTGAAAGAGTGCGCTCAGACGGGAACTGGATGCTGGCACTCACATAGGCAGTCAGGCGCCTTACAAACTGGCTGCAAACACTCATCACACACCTGGCTAGTCTTAAGGAATGGGAGAGTTTTGGGATCATAGTAACTCCCCCGTTTCGCTTCCTGGATCATTCCTTTTCAAGATTATACGTGAAGTAGACCCGAAGGAAAGAACATTTTGGAC